CCCAAGCAGTCTCCACACCATCAGTGTGGACCTCAATGTGGGGCTTGATCTCAGAAACTGTGAGATCATGACCTGAGCCGAAATCAATCGGATGCTTAACTGACTGAGCCACCCAGGCACCCTATGTCATTATTTTCTAAATAATTCAATATTTAGAAACAATAATGGGTCCCTTATGATCGATAGTAACATGAAGTATAACCAGCACTCAGATAAAGAAACAGAATATCCCAGAAATCCCCCTAGTATTCCTCAAGGGTGACTTCCAGTTGAACTAATAGCTAGACTAATAGCATAGACTCATTTTAGCTGTCATTGTACTTTATATAAATGGAATTATGTTCCATGTATTTTTTTGTATCTTGTTTTTGTTTGTTTTCATTTTTTGCTTAGCATTATGTTTGAGATTTATCCATATTGTAATAAGTAGCAATAAATTGTGCATTCTATTAGTATTATATTGTGTGAATATAACCCAATTTACATATATAATTTATAATTTATGAATGAATATATAATTTGTATAATTAATCCAATTAATGTAGACTATATTATTTATGCTTTTTCAAATTAAAAAAAATTAATGTTTTTTTTTAATTTCTGAGAGACAGAGAGAGACAGCGTGAGCAGAGAGAGAGGGAGTCACAGAATCTGAAACAGGCTCCAGGCTCTGAGCTGGCCGTCAGCACAGAGCCCGACATGGGGCTCGAACCCATGAATCGTGAGATCATGACCCGAGCCGAAGTCAGACGCTTAACCAACTGAGCCACCCAGGTGCCCTGGCTTTTTCAATTTTTAATTATTTCTTTGTTTGTTTGTAAAGTGGGCTCCACATTCAGCGTGGAGCTTGGACTCACTACTCTGAGATTAAGATCTGAGCTGAGATCAAATGTTGATTACTCAAGTGACTTTGTTGTGCCGGATTCACGAGTACCCTGAGACACTTTCACGGAGAGATTGTGCTCTCGAGCTCTGATATCCTTGAAATGAGTGTGCAACAGGTCTAGGGGTTTAGAGGGTGTCTGTCCCATTTCATCAGTCTCAGTTCCCCAGTAATAAAAGTCCAACAGACACAACTGACAGCCACAGACACATATACAGAGAGACAGATAACAAAGTTCGCCGTGCACAGACACATATACAGAGAGACAGATAACAAAGTTCGCTGTACGGGGAAACGAAACTGAAACCGGGATGGTGGCGCTAAGGAAAAGAAACTGAAACTGGGACGAAGGCTTTTGGTTGGATCCTGGGCACAACCTGCCTTGTCCCTCTGAACTATTACAGAACACAGGTTGGGGCAGTCCATTGGACACTTCTTCCCCTCCAATACAGAAGGAGCCTGGAATGTCTTCCAGGTCTCCCATGATCGTGGCCCCCTAGCGCGTCCGCCTTAACCACCTTTGGTCGCCTAATACAGATTTGTCTCGAGACCAGAGTTACACAGATAAACACAACAGAAAAAGATTCTTATCAGCTGGATGACACTCCGGTTCGGGGGTCCTGGGGGTCTTGTGGCATCCCGGACGAGCCCCCAAATGTTGTGCCCAATTCGCGAGTCCCCTGAGACCCCCAAGGAGCTGACACCAATGCAAGTACATAAGGGTCTTTATTACAAGCTTGAGCAGGGGCTCACCCACTTACCGGTGTAGTGGCAGCAAGGTGAAGTGAAGAACAATAGCAAACAGGGTTTTTAAGGAGTAAGGGATGGCAGTGTTACAGTACGTATAGCATCATCACATAAGCACCAATTACAATTGTACAGCATCCATGGTAACAGTTTTGACCATTCAGTATCTGTGAGGTGTTCATTACTTTTGGTGGGACCCAATCATGACTTTTGAGAATCTTTTGAAAATGACCAATTATTGTGGGGCGCCTGGGTGGCTTAGTAGGTTGAGCGTCCGACTTTCGCTTAGGTCATGATCTCGCGGTTCGTGGGTTCGAGCCCCGCGTCAGGCTCTGTGCTGACTGCCAGCTCGGAGCCTGGAGCCTGTTTCAGTCTGTGACTCCCTCTCTCTCTGACCCTCCCCTGCTCACGCTGTCTCTCTCTCTCGCTCTCCTAGAAATAAATAAAACATTTTTAAAAATTTTAAAAAAAAGAAAATGACCAATTATGAGGTGAGTTCAAAGGACCCACGTGGGGTTCAGGCAAGCAGTAAGAAATTGGCTAGTTTGTATAAAATAACTGTCTGCAGTTCCCAGCCTTGACTCAGACCATAGGAATGTTTTTTTGATTAGCTGATCTGAGGGCGGTCCAAGGATGGCTTTAGCCTTGAGCAATCTGAGGCTTTTCCTGGAAAAGTTGCTCTTAATGGAGGACTTAATTTTAGGCTCTTCAACTGAACTACCCAGGCGTCTCTGATTTTTCATTTTAAAACCATTTTTCAGCTATTTTACTTTCTTTTATTTTCTAACTTTATTGAAATCTAAATGACAAATAAAAATGATATCTATTTAAGTCATACAAGTTGTTGATTTGATATAGGCATACATTGTGAAATATTCACCGTAATCTAGCTAATTAACATATCCACCAGCTTACAAAGTTACCATTTTTCTTTTCTTTTGAAAAAAATTTTTAACATTTATTTATTTTTGAGAGTCAGAGAAAGACAGAACATGAGCCAGGGAGGGGCAGAGAGAGAGGGAGACACAGAATCTGAAGCAGACTCCAGGCTCTGAGTTGTCAGCACCAAGCCCAATGTGGAGCTCGAACTCATGGACCACAAGATCATGACCTGCTGAAGTCAGACACTCAACCAACTAAACCACCCAGGAGACCCTTTTCTTTCTTTCTTTCTTTTTTTTCTTTGTGTGTGTGTGTGTGTGTGTGTGTGTGTGTGTGTGTTGAGAACACTTAAGTTGATGGGCATTTACATTGTTTCCAGCTTTTTGTTATTCTAAGCGCCACCACTATAAATATCACAGACATTATGTTTCACAGAACAGAGGCACGTATTTATGTTGGGGTAGAACAACTCAATATTGGCTATGTGTAATATTCAGGTTTCCTAGGTACTACAGACTTTTCCAAAAGAGTTCTACCAATTAGCATTTTCACTAAACATGTGAGAGTTCCAGTTGCTCCATAGCCTCAGAAGTTTCCTTTATGGAACGTTCACACAATTTTCAAGTTTATTCTTAGGCATTTTACTTTTTGTTGTTATTTTTTAATTCACAAGTTATATATAATTGACTGCTATTATGTTAACATAATTGGCTTATGTTAGTTTTTATTTAATTCTGCATCCATCAATTTATTATTTTATTGTTTGTAGGAGCATGGTTATAGGTTTGTTCTCTTATAGGAGCATGTTATATGGTTTATTCTCTTAATTTTCCCAGGGATATAATCATAGTATTTACAAATAATGATTTAATAGGCACCTTATATTTTTTATACATCCCATTTGTTTGTCTTTTATGGTTTTAGTGTATATTTCGTCTAGATAAATATTCAAAACAGTATGAATAGTGGACATTTTATTTTATTTTATTTTATTTTTATTTTAGAAAGAGAGAGAGAGCAAGCAGGGGAGGGGTAGAGGGAGAGGGAGAGACAGAATCCCAAGCAGACTCTGTGTTGTAAACACAGAGCCAGATGCAGGGCTCAGTCCCACGACCCAGGAGATCATGACCTGAGCCAAAATCAAGATTAAGACACTCAAGCAACTGAGCCACCCAGGTGCCCTAATAGTGAATATTTTAAACCTCTAAATTTCCATTAAGCCTCCAAAATGTTTATCAAAATCGTATTACTTGCATACCTTTCCCAAGAAGGAAGAACTTCACAGCAGTTCCTGAGAAAAAAAACGGATGAAGCATTCAAGTGAATAAAGTAAGTCCATCAAGGCCAGAGTAGCTGGGAGAAGAGAGAGGCTGCAGTGAAATTAGGAGAAAATGTGGGAAGCAGCCATATCACCTGGATCACCCAAAACGGGGATGCAGAAGGAAAAGCTAAAAAACTGTGATGATCACAGCCCAGGGTCACAGACCCACTGAGAAAGTGGGGTTTAATTTTAAGATCATGCTGCCTGTATTCATTCCTACCACCACACCGACAGGGCTTCAGTATAAAAACAGTGAAATAAAGCTGAAAGAACAGCAAGACAGAAACTCTATTTAAGAAGGGCTTCCTAGGGAAACCCACAGACAACAGTGAGACCAGACAGGAATGTTAGAAGAAGCCAGAACTTCCAGCTCCTACAGCTTCAGCAAACAGGAACACAGCCCAACTCGTAGGCAGATGAACACAAAACCTCACACACAGCTCTAGTTATGTTCATTCCTGATATAGGAGAGATCACATCCAGCTTTCCACATCTGCACAAGGTGTACTAAGAGGCAAGAAGAAGCCCAGTCTGGAGACCCAGGGAAGACCAGACTCAGATATGGCACAGGTTTGGGGATTGTCAGACGTGTGTGTGTGTGTGTGTGTGTGTGTGTGTGTGTGTTATATACACACGTATGTAAAGAGATTTACTATAAAGAATTGGCCCACATTTATTATATTTTTATAATTTATTATAAGGAATTGGCTCAATTGTTGTTGAGCTGACCAGTCCCATGGCCCACAGGCAGCAGACTGGAGCCCAGGGAGTACCATTCACTGAGGGCGTTCCCACCCAGGACCCAGGAGTTCTAGTCCGCAGGCCTTGTCCTGAGAGAACATACTTAAAGGAAGTTGGAGTTAAGGAGGGAGGAAAAGACAGTCAGCATCCACCACAATGGCAAAGGCATAGGGTATCTGCAGAAGGCAGGCAACTTGCAGAAAAGGGAGGGGATCGGTAAAAAATTATTCCCTTGGCACAAAATTTCCTGAAGGGTCTGCTGCTTCTAAGTCTCTGAGTTATCCTAGTTCAGGATAAAAATAACAATACTGATGTTCTTGCTTTTCCTGTTTATATTACCAAAGCTTCAGGAAAAATGTGACCAGCACGTGTTCTGACTGAGAGTTGTCTGGCTCTGAGTGTTCCCACCCACTTCCTGTTCCCTATACAGCAGACTCTGCTCTTTCAAGAGCAGTTCTTGAACTGAGCTTTCTGACCGCGTTTTACTGAAAGCTGTAAGCAATGCACTCTATATATTCATACGCTGTGGACACTTTCCTCTACTTCTCGTCAAAGCCCTCAGCAGCCTGCGATGTGTCAGCCCCAGAAGGAGAAACAAAGAATTCACAAGAAAGCACGGACACAGGAGACAGAAAACATGACCATTCCTCTTCCTTTATGGCTGATGGAGTGGTAAGTCTGAGTGTGTGAGAGTGTGTGTGTGTGTGTGTGTGTGTGTGTTTGTGTTGAGTACGTATGTTTCTGTGTGTATTGTGTGTTTGTTTTTGTGTATATGTTGTGTTTGAGAGTGACTGGGTATGGGTGAGTGTGTGTGATGTGTTTATGTGTATGTGTGTGTTTATGTGAATGTGTATGTTGTGTATTTATGTTTGTGTGTTATGTTTGTGAGAGTATGTGAGTGATTTATGTTTGTGTGTTTGTATGTGTGTTTATGTATTTGTGAATATGTGTGTGGTGTGTTCTGATTGTATGTGTGTAGTGTGTGTATGTGTATGTTTGTGTAGAGGTGTGTGTTGGGTTTATGAGTGTCGTTTGCAAGTTAGTGTGTGTTATGTTTGTGACTATGTCAGTGTGTGATATGTTTATGAGTGTATGGGGTGTGTGTTTTGTTTGTGAGTGTGGGTATGTGTTGTTTGTGTGTGTTTACAAGTGTGTGGGTGTGTTTGAGTGGTGTGTTTGTGAGTCTGTGTGTGTTTGCGAGTGTGTGTTTGTTGTTTGTGAGTGTGCAAGTGTGTGTTCCATTTGTGTGTATGCTTATGAGTGTACATGTTGTGTTTTTGAGTGTGTGTATGTTTGCAAGTATGTGGGCGTGTATTGTTTGTGTGTATATGTTTACAAGTTTGTGGGTGTTGTTGTGTTTGTGAGTGTGGGTGTGTGATATGTTTGTATGTGTGGTTGTGTTTGAGTGTGTGTGTTTGTCAATGTATGTGTTGTGTTTGTGAGTCTGTGTGTATGTTTGTAAGTGTGAGTGTGTGTTGTGCTTGTCTGGCTGTGTGTTTGTGAGTGTATAGGTGTGTATTGTGTTTGTGAGTGTGTCAGTGTGGTGTGTTTGTGTGGGTGTGTGTTTGCGAGTGTGTTGTGTTTGTGAGTGCATGTGTGTAGGGTGTGTAGGGGTGTGTTTACAGTGGAACAGAAGCAGCCATGTGTAAGAGTCAGGAGAACTCTGTTTCCTGCTCAATTCACTGTTTACTCCTGGGCAAGATGCTTCCGCGAGTTGATTCTCCTCCTCGTAAGGAGGTGGGGGGACGTGGCTGCTCGAGCTCTGTGCTGGAGACAAAACCAGCCAAGTGCAGGGAGGCCAACGTGTGAGGGGCTGCTCTGGGCAGGGGCGAGGCGGCGAGGCCCGGGGCACAGACTCACTCGCTGATGCTAGGCTGGAGTGCACTGTTCAAATTTTCTGCCCGTGCGCCTCCCCCAGCTCACCCACCCACCCTCCTCTTACCTTCCGCTGAGCTCCCCCTTCTCTGTAAGGGAGCCGCAAGGTTTCATTGGTGAAGCACTGCCTCAACTTCCATCAAGGATGTAAGGAAGCCAAGAACAAAGAGGCTGAGGGGGTTCCAGGTGCAGAGATAGGAGCACAATCCCCTTGTCCCAGAAGCCCTTTTGATAGGCAAATGCTGTGTCCCTGCTAAAATGTCACTGACCAGGTCTGGGGACAGCTGTTCACCTGACCTGGTCACTCTCTTTTCCTGCAAAGTCACACAACTTACTGGACTGTGTCCGTTCTGAGCCTGGCACTTTAGGGGTGACATTGCTAAGTAAAGCCAACAGCCATACAGCAAGAGCCACACTGGCCTCCCGATGGCCAGCTCCTGGGACCTGGGCATGACTGAAGTCATTTGCCAGGTTAACAGAGTGCAATAACCTTCTGAGGGTGTTACAGCAATGGGAAAACTACGTCTATTGGGGCCCCCTGTAGCTGGGTCTCCCCACACCCCACAGCCTTCGTCCGGAGACATTCATCTGACTGTGTCTCTGAGTGTCCTCCATGTTCTGGAAAAACAGTCATGGAAACATGCGGTTTCCTCCCCGACCCCACAGAGAGTATCAAGCAGCTGTAGGCTGACGGGCCCCAGCCCCGCGCCGTAGGGAACTGTGTTAGTCCATGAGGCAGGATGCACTGAGCGAGGTTACATGGTCCTTCCTCAGAAGTAGGCTGGAAGTTCCTGGCTGGAGTGACTGGTCCTTCCCACAGGGGAAGAGCCCTTGGGGACATTTAATTCAAGCCCAGAATTGGGGACAATAAGGCCCAGGCAGTGTGACCATTCTAACTGATGGCCGTTGGAGATGAGCACCAAGGTCTCCTCCCTCCCAGCAGGACTCTGCTCTGCACACTGATGGCCCCATTCCTGTCCTCACAGCAGAACCTAGCCACCCACCCGTAAGCCCTCTGCAACTCTCACTTCCTTACTGCCAAGCATTCCCCAAGGTCAGGCCTGGACCTCCCCTTTTGGCCCAACACCATGACCCCCACCCCCCAGCCAGTCCCTCAGCACAATTTCCTGCCCGCACCCTCCAGATACCCCTACTGTGGTCACACTGATCTTCCCACTGCTCTGAGGACCCCGTATCAGACCTGCATCTGCTCTCTGCTCCTTCTCCTCCTCAGAACGGCTCTAGGGCCATGTCTCTCCAGAGACTACCTGCCCCTTGGCTGGCAGGCCAGTTCACCTTTCTCCATGAGGTCTCTTACACTGACAGTAGAAACCACAGTACGGATGGGGGGAGAGGAGAGAAAACAGGGTCTGTAAAGGAAGGAGAGACCCCTCGGCCTCCCTCCTCCCTCTCCGCATTCACGCTGCTCCTCCTCAAACCTAAGCTTCTGGCAAGAGAAAGGCAACAGTCAGGTGCCTCTTAAAACGGTTGAAAAACCAGTAAGACACATTATCGTTTTCTCTAGATCAAGGAGGAAGAATACGAAGAGATTCCCCAGGACCATCCTGCAGGAGCGCTGCGTCAGCATCCTAAACAGGACATTTTAGGAGGTAAATTACTTGCTAGCAGAAATGAGCTTGAGAGAGGTCTGTGGTGGGGACGTTTGGTGGTGCACTGGACAGGCAGCGGGGTTCATCCCTGTAGAGATTTGCCCACTTCTGTAGAGATTTGCCCAAGAACCTTTGGGGGTTCTTCCTTTACCACAGGCAAATAATAGGGAGGGGACCCTGGTGGGCAGAGCAGGGGGGAAGGAAGGGGGACACGGCACCAGCCACCCCCTTTACTAAATCTCTGTATCAGGCCTGAGGAAAAGAGGTCTGTGCATTCTGGGCTTTTCTCCTCAGGAAGGATGTGCCAATAGTCAGTGTGACCAAATGGCTCACCCGGGTCTGAGGCTCTGCAGTCAATAGACCCCGTCTGGGGGTGCTTGGCTGGATCAGATGGGAGAGCACTCGGGGTCATATGGGCTGCAAAGCAGCATGGGAGCAGACAGGATGTACTTGGCCGCTGCCTCAGAACTGGGCTTGGCCTTCTGGAGGGGGTTGTCTCCAACAGCCACTGCATCAGGACCAAGCTTTTAACTTTCGAGCACTCAATTTTGCCATCTACCTTGGGGAGACAGAATCTGGGAATGCTGGAAATTCATCCATTTTCCTGGCCGGAAGAAATTATTTGTGACTCATTATGTATTTTAGCACAAACAGTTTTTTACTACATGAACTTCAATGGCCTGAGCTACTGGGAGGGAGTCTTTTTTTTTTTTTAAATTTTTTTAATGTTTTATTTATTTCTAGGAGAGAGAGAAAGAGAGAGAGAGAGAGAGAGACAGCGTGAACAGGGGAGGGTCAGAGAGAGAGGGAGTCACAGACTCTGAAACAGGCTCCAGGCTCTGAGCTGTCAGCACAGAGCCCGACGCAGGGCCCGAAACCACGAATCGCGAGATCATGACCTAAGCGAAAGTCGGACGCTTAACCGACTAAGCCACCCAGGCGCCCCTGGGAGGGAGTCTTATTAATAAACCATGGAAGAAAATTACCCATAGAAGTGCTGATACCTGCTTTACCTGTTCTTGCAACAATCAAGTTTAAATATTACTTGAAAAATCCTCTCTGGCGCTCAGGTGATATATTTAAGTTCCAGTGGTGTGCACTGGTGGCCCCAGGCTTGCTCAGAGACAGGATTTGCTATCTTTGCCCAGCTTTTCATTGGTTGGGAGGGCAGAGATGAATGTTCCACACTCCATGCTTTCTTAAAACTCTTACTCATTCACTCAAATTCCTTTCAAGCCAGCTGGGGGCAGCTGGAGGGAGCCAAAGCCATTCAGTCTGAATCAGCTGCTGGGGCAACCCACCCTGGGTGGCAGGCAGCAGAAAAAAACATATCATTGCTAAAGAGATTCAGAGGGAGCCAGTGCCCCCTTGGGAGGCTCAGGACCCTGTCATTGAGACACATCTTTTCAATGGGGGAATCTTATGGGGGAACAGACTTGGAATCTATGTACTACTTGGCATTTCTCTGTGTGCTCTCGGTCTCGGATCTTAAAGGTCAGAAGGGAATTCCTTCCCTTCCTGGTGCTCAGCTCCAGGAGCAATCAAGTATCTAAGAAACTTGACACTGGGTTTCTAGATCTTAAATTGGCATCTCCAAGTCTCTCGAAGCTCATGGTTCTGATATTCTGCTGGGTGAGAAGGTCCAACCCAGACTTCAAGGCTGCTGTCTAGGAATGTGGGTGCAGGTGTTTCTGCCTGGGAGCCTGGGGTCAAGCTGAGGGGGTCCAACACTCCCAACATTCCCTGTTGCAAAAGCGAAGACAAGGTGATGTGGTCAGACACAGGAGGCCACGTGTTTCTTTTTCTTTCTGCTCTTACTGAGAAGGATCTCCAATCAGGGAGACTTAGGGAAGCTCAGGGTTCCATAGTCCTGCTGGGCTAATTCCCACTTGCCTGAGAACAAATGACCTGATAAGAGGTGTCAAAGCCGAAACATAAAACTGTGATATTCTGAGGCGCCTGGGTGGCTTAGTCGGTTGGGCGTCCGACTTTCACTTGGGTCATGATCTCGCGGTTCGTGGGTTCGAGCCCCGCGTCGGGCTCTGTGCTGACTGCTAGCTCAGAGCCTGGAGCCTGTTTCAGTCTGTGACTCCCTCTCTCTCTGACCCTCCCCTGCTCACGCTGTCTCTCTCTCTCTCTCTCTCCTAGAATAATAATTTAAAAAAAATTTAAAAAAAAACCTGTGAGATTCTACCACATGATCAGCAATTCCCCTTCTGGGTGGATACCCAAAAGAATTGAGAGCAGGGGACTCAGACAGACATTTGTACCCAGATGTTCACAGCAGCCTTATTCACAATAGTAAAAGGCGGAAACAACCCAAACATTCATACATGTTTATGAATAAACAAAATGTGATACAAACCTACAATGGAGTATGGCCCAGCCTTAAAAGGGAAGGCAGTCCTGACGCCGGCGACAACATGGGTGAATCTGAGGACGTTATGCTGAGTGAAATAAGCCAGACACAACAAAGTGAATCCTGCATGATTCCACTTGCATGCCCTACCTAGAATGGCCAGACTCCTAGGGACAGAAAGTACACTAGAGGCCACCAGGAACTAGTGGGGAGTGAGTAATGGGGAGTTATGGTTTAATCAGGACAGCTTGGGATGATAAAAAAAATTCTTGAGGCGCACAGTGATGATGATTGCACATGATGCGAATGCACTGAGCGCCATGGAGTTGCACACCTCAAAATGGGTACACTGATGAATTTTGTTATATATTTTTTATATTGTCTTTTTACCACAATTTTTAAAAAAGCTTCAAAAGGGCAAGAAAGAACGTGAGCCTCCCCCGCCCACCTCCCACCCTCCGCCGCAGGTCTCGGGTGCAGACTGGGGGCCCCTGTTCTCGCATCCCGGACGCTCTGCCGGGGTCAGGGAGCTCCCCGCCGCGCGGCTCTAACCCCAGCTCCCTCTGCTTTGTCTCGGCGCTTCCAGGTCTGGGGGAGGCCCCGCCGGGCCCCCGGAGACTGAGGCTCCTGCTGGTGGGGAAAACGGGCAGCGGGAAGAGCGCCACGGGGAACAGCATCCTGGGCAGGAAAGAGTTCGAGTCTAAACTCAGCGCTCACCCGGTGACCCGCGCCCTGCAGCGGGCCAGCCGCGGCTGGGCCGGCCGGGAGCTCGAGGTGATCGACACCCCAGACATCCTGTCCCCGCGGGGCTCGTCGGAGGCCGTGTGCGAGGCGGTCGCCTTCTCCGCCCCGGGGCCGCACGCGGTGTTGCTGGTGACGCAGCTGGGCCGCTTCACCGAGGAGGACCGGCAGGCGGTGCTGCGCCTCCAGGTGGCCTTCGGGGTGGACGTGCTGGCCCACACGGTGCTGGTGTTCACGCGCAAGGAGGATCTGGAAGGGGGCTCCCTGGAGCGGTACGTGCGGGACACCGACAACGAGCACCTGGCGCTGCTGGACCAGGTGTGCGCGCGGCGCCACTGCGCCTTCAACAACGCGGCGCGCGGCGCGGAGCAGGAGGCGCAGCTGCGCGAGCTCCTGGAGCAGATCGACGGCCTCCTGTGGGAGAACGACGGCCGGCACTTCAGCAACCGCGCCTACCTCTACTCCCAGGGTCTGCGCGGAGGCGGCGAGGAAAGGAGGGTCCTCGGGGGGCGAGGCTCGGAGGAGGCGCCCGGCGCTGAGCCCGGGAGGGAGGGGCTGTGCCAGATCCAGAAGGAATCGGAGGAAGCTCACAGTCGTCTGCTGGGGAGGGCGCCCATTTGAGCCTCGGCTGGACCTCAGCCGCCGTGGCTAGCTACCCGCCCCTCGGTGCCCGGGGGTCCCTGGCCATCTCAGCCTCCTGATCGGCAGGTGCGTTCAGAGTGCCCCACTCGCACCGCGCCCTGGGGCCTTCATCACACCTTCTGGGGCGATGAACGGCTTCAACACTGTAGGGAGCAGCCTGCCTGGTAGAAGGGAGAACTCTGCGGTGAGCTGGAGTCTTTCTGGGGGGCTGTTTCTGCTCACAGGGTTCCGAAGAAGCCACCTAGGCTTGGAGAAGAGAGCAAGCAGGATGCGGTCTGGCTCTGGCCATCTAGCTGCATAAGGAGATGGATGGGCCTCAGGGGCACTTCAGCTTCTTTGAGGTGCTTCTGTGGAGTCTGACCAGCTGATGGGGCGGAAGAGGAGCAGACTGGACTTCTGGGAGGGGTGGGAAGTGACCATGGGGGAGACAGTGCTGGACGGCGGTCAGAGACCAGAGGACACAGTGTCAGGTCCATTTGGACCTCGTCCAATGGTTAAGTCTCTACAACCAGATGCGCGCTGACGAGTCTCCCAGTGTGGCGGCCAGGACACCTGTCTTCCTCGGACGCAAAGGACCTCTACGAAAGTTTGAGCATTTCGTTTGCTTTAGAAGACTCAGAAAAGCGTCTCAGGGCCCAACAGAGACTTATGTGGGGTGCATACTTAAGTCTTTGTGTCAGAACCTTATAGATATGCCATCCATTTCCCACTGAACTGAACTGAACTGAGGCACATTTATCATATAATACGTTTTCATATTCCCTAAGATCTACCTTTCTTCCTTTTTTATGAATAAAATATTGATTTGATTTCAGAGGCTTTGAGTATACTATGACAGCCTACGTGTTTATATTTCCTTTGTTAGTCTCAGACATTCATTCTCCAGGGTGAAACTAAAATCATTTGCATTTCCATTAGGAGATTAATTTCTTTAAGTGATCTTGTCTTAACTGTCAGCTTTGTCAATTTCATAACAGAAAATATAAGCATTGACCAAATGACAGCCCCACTGAGTCTAAATGCCAAGTCATTCAAAACACGTTATCCAGTAAAACTTCTTTAAAAAAAAAAAAAAAGAAAAGTAATAAAATATATAAAAATCCTAAAGGAATTGGTTTTAATTATATCAAATACAGTGGGATTTTTTTTCTCCTTTATGATTAAAAATCAGCAGTGATAAGTCCCAGAAGACTTCAGGAGGAGGATAGATATGACACTATGATCACTCTCTCAGCCTCAGACAACAAGGGAAGGCATGTGTGAGTATGTTCTGGAAACTCCACAGTCTGTGTAGCAATAAGAAAGAAAAATGATGTGGGTGGAGGTGGGGGTGGGCTGAGGACAGAGGGTTGTCTTGGCCACAGCTGTGGAAATCACCAACTTTAGAATTTGTGCCTTTCTAAAAACACACCTCTCCACTAGAACAAAGCATGAAAAATGGGGATTTGGGCAACTAGAAGAGCTCAGTGCATACTAGGTTGTTTCCTCCCCTGGTGGGTCTGAGCTGCTGTTAAAAGTATCTGGGGATATTTCCAGCTCCCCACACTCCTGTAATAACACTGAAGAACTATGTAGACAATACAAAATAATAATTTTACAACAGTTGGTTGAAAGCACTGGGAAGTGACCAAATGCAGGCAGACACTGTAGGGAACTGTAATCCCCAAACAGTCCAGAGGAAATTTTTTTCTGGAAGCCTGAAAGAGCTGGTCATGGATGTCAGCAGTGATGCCTGCAAAGATGGAACCTGAGGTTCCAGTTCGCCAAGCATTCCATGACAATACTGAAAGGTCATGTTTCTGGAGTAAAAAACCACATCAGGACAAGGGATTTGCTCCAAAAGAAGACCAAGATCAAAGTAGTCTCTTGCTAGGGATGTCTAAAACCAAGTTTCCCAAAGTCAGAGGGATCTACCAGTAATTTATTTTTTAATGTTTTATTTATTTCTGAAAGAGAGAGAGACCAGGAAAAGGTCAGAGAGAGAGGGAGACACAGAATCTGAAGCAGGCTCCAGGCTCTCAGCTAACTGTCAGCACAGAGCCTGATGTGGGGCTCAAACCCACAAATCATGAGATCATGACCTGAGCCAAAGTCAGACGCTTAACTGACTGAGCCACCCAGGCGCCCCACTACCAGTAATTTAAACACTTGCTAAAACAAATCTCAATATTCTTCAGGAGATAGTAATATTAAGTCTCTACATTGTATTATCTATAATATCTTATAAATTATTAAAAATTATTGTCTTTTAACATAAGGATGGGAAGCAATAGAATTTCCCTCTACACATGTGTATCTAATCTCACAAATTTGTGTATATTCTGTTTTCACTATCCGCTTGAAATATTTTCTATGTTCTTCGTGATAATTTTTTTCTCACCCATGGGTTATTTAGAAGTATGTGTTTGGTTTCCAAATATTTGAGTATTTTCTAGAAATTGCGGTGTTCAGTATGGTAGCCACTGGTCATATGTAGCTACTGAACATTTGGAATGTAGCTGGTGTACTGAAAAAAGGAAGTTTGAATTTTAATTTAGTTATAATTAGTTTTAATTTAAATTTAAAAGCTGAAGCAGTGTAAAATGTTTTACCATGAAACACAGCTTTGTTGTTTAGGTAGAAATAAATTTCCCTCAAATATTGGATTATATATTTTTGCTGTTTTGCAATGCAAGTGCGGGCCTTATGCATTGCTCCTAGTGTTGCACATAAACCCATCATTGAGCTATAGTCCTGCAATAGATTGATTCTGTTTGAATAATCTTTTTTCATTGATGCAATACTTTTGTTTAAATGCTGGATGTAGACAGTATGAGTTACAGCAATGCCTACCTACACTGTAGTTGGTAATTAAAACTAAATACTGATTATTTTATTCATAATATAATTAAATTCATTTTTGGTTTAAAAATCAATAGGGACAAATTTTTAACTTTAAAATGAATGCATAATACTGATACAGAATGAATGGAGATCGCCAGGGAAACAGTATCACAGGAATAGGGAGACAGAAAGAGACTGGACAAAAATATGTTACAAAATTCATGATGAGTAGCAATTGCACTTTGCCGCAGTACAACAAAGCCAGAAACAAGTGTTTAGAGATGTTTTCAGGATACGCATAGAAATTTTGATAAAACATTTCCTCTCAACTATCCAAAGCAAAATTGATAAAACTAGTAACTGAGCCAGAAATAAATGCCCAACAAAATGATTCTAAACAATTTTTAACAGAATCTGAAGTTTTTAACTTGGGACACGGTAAAGCAGCTTCGATTATTGCGCAGAAAAGAAAAACAGTTTTATTTGGAGAGATGGTTGAAGAAATTACTACTTTGGCTATGGTAACTTTTGTTGGAAAATTTTAAGAAAAGCCTAAGAACTTTAAAGTATCAAAAGATGAAAGACCTTCCGTTAAGGCACCAAACAGCTGCCTATTAGAAGACAAGACCTTTTTGAAGAACCTCCACACTGTTTTCCAGAGTGATCAGTTTGCATTCCCACCTACAGATCAAGAGGGTTCCCCTTTCTCCACATCCTTGCCAGTATCTGTTGCTTCCTGACTTGTTAATTTTAGTCATTCTCATAGGTATTAGATGGTATCTCATCATGGTTTTGATTTGTATTTCCCTGATGGTGAGTGATACTGAGCACCTTTTCATGTGTCTATTATCCATCTGTGTTTCTTCTTTGGAAAAATATCTCTTCATGTCTTCTGACCATTTCTTTATCTTAAAACATTATCTTTATCTTATCTTTCTTTAAACATTAAAATAAGGCCAAAACCTCTTTGATCTCGGCCACAGCAACTTCTTCACACGTCTCTGGAAGCAAGGGGAAAAAAGCATAAATGAACTATTGGCACCTCATCAAGATAAAAAGCTACTGCATGGCAAAAGAAACAGTCAGCAAAACTGAAAGGCAACCAATAGAATGGGAGAAGATATTTGCAAATGACATCTCAGATAATGGGTCAGTATCCAAAACTGATAAAGAACTTACCAAACTGAACACCCAAAAAATCAAATAATCCAGTGAAGAAATGGGCAAAAGACATGAACAGACACTTTTTAAAAGAAGACATCCAGATGGCTAACAGACATATGAAAAAAAAAAGCTCAGCATCATTCATCATCAGGAAATACAAATCAAAATCACAATGAGATACCATCTCACACCAGTCACATTGGAAAAGTAACAACTCAGGCCCCAACCCCAGATGTTGGCAAGGATGTGGAGCAAAAGGAACCCTTTGGCACTACTGGTGGGAATGCAAACTGGTGCAGCCACTCTGGAAAAAAGTATGGAGGTTCCTCAAAAAATTAAAAATAAAACTACTCTATGACCCAGCAATTGCACTGCTAAGTATTTAGCCTAAGGATATAGGTGTGGTGTTTCAAAGAGGCAGATGCACCCCAATGTTTTAGCAGCTCTATCGACAATAGCCAAAGCATGGAAAGAGCTCAAATGTTCATCGATAGATGAATGGATAAAGAAGATGTGGTATATTGTTGCAGACTTTGAGACTGGAGTTCTCTCTTGCCCAGCGAGAGAGTGGATGCAGAATTGAATACAGAGAGGCTAATGTCCAGGATGAGACATGAGTCCTGAGCAAGGATCCTTGCTCTGTATTTATTAGGATCAGAAGGCTTACAAACATGCTGAACGTGCAGAAAGAGACAATAAAACACTGATCATTAACTTGTGTGTGAAAGAAAGAGGGTTTCAAAGGTATGCAGTGTTAGGGGTTTGGATCAATATAAAACAAAATCCTGGCGACGAGCATATGGCCGTTTACTGCAGGCTCCAGGCACCGTGTCTGTTTATCTTAACTTTTCTACGGGCTAAGTCAGATAGAGCATGCTACCTCAGGATTAACAAGGCATTTTTCTCACTAATTAGCTCTGGGCGCTTTTGCCAGGTAGCAACTTTCCACTCTATATTTGGTTTACTTAATGATAAATCCTGGGGCTTTTGCCCACCTGTACCTGTTCTTGGACGCTTTCATCCTGTGGAAGTGGCTTCCACTCTATGGTTTGTTCTATGCTGAGCGCTTTCACCCTGTGGTGGCTTTCCACCTTAAACCTTATTAACCAACTGGTGCAAGCTCAGAGAATTCTTAAATTTATTCCCCATTGCATAGATAAATGGAATATTGCTTGGAATAAAAAAGAGTGAAATTTTTCCATTTGAAACAATGTGAATGGAAGTAGAGTGTATTATGCTAAGTGAAATTAGTCAGAGAAAGACAAATATCATATGACTTCACTCCTATGTGGAAGATAAAAATAAGGGAAGGGAAGGAAAACACACAAACACACACACATTCCAAAAGACCTACAGTTTCCTGCTCTCTATTAAATCCAAACTTCACAGCAGCACTCTCAACAACAGCCAAAACATGGAAAGAGCTTAAGTGTTCATCAACTGACAAATGGATCAAGAAGACGTGGTTTATCTATACAATGGAATACTACATGGCAATGAGAAAGAATGACATCTGGCCATGTGTAGCAACATGGATGAAACTTGAGGGTGTTATACTGAGCGAAATAAGACAGGCAGAGAAGAACAGATACCATATGTTTGCACGTATAGGATTAGGAGGAACTAACAGAGGACCATGGGGGAGAAGAAGGGGAAAAATAGTGGGGGAGAAGGAGGGAGGCAAACCATGAGAGACTCTTGAATGTTGAGAACAAACTGAGAGCTGATGGGGAGGGAGGGGAAGGGGAGTGATGGGCATGGAGGAGGGCACTTGTGGGGATGAGCACTGGGTGTTGTGTGGAAACCAACTTGACAATAAACTGTTAAAA